GATCGGTTCTTATTAAATTTGAGATACAGAACTTTTCTGAGTTTTCGATTTTATTGATTGCTATATGAATTGTTCTTGTTACGAGTATTTGGTGAAAAGATCTTGAATGTCTAGACTTATGAAATTTTCATCTTCTTCCAATTTTACTTTAGATATTTCTTGTATGAATTTAGATGTATTATATATTGTGTTTCGTAATTCTTTTATAAATGTAAACGCATATTTTGATCCTCTAATGCTGAAAAGATCATCAATTGATAAAAATTCATGTTTCATATTTAAATTAATTCTATCATTTTTATGAAGCCTATTAGTGAGTTCTGTTATTTCGTTTTTTTATCTTAGCTGTTGGATCTTTTACTTCCTCGTACTTTGATTTATGGTTTAATTTTTCTCCTATCTTATTTATATATTCAATTATACTTATTACAATAATTTTTTCACCTTTGTCAACTTGAACTATAAATATTCTATCATTATTCTTTAAGTCTTTTAGAGCTTTCTGTTTTCCTTTGCTTATGTTATTATCTTTCATCTTAGGATTTTCCCATTGTTTGACAAATGTTGTTATTTCTGAAATGGCTAATTGTTTAGTAATTATTGGTATTGTTGGTATTGCGCATAGTGTTGATTCAATATTTCATATTATTTCAATTAAATAGAATGTTTTTAGTGTTTGTGCAAATTAAAGTCCTCTTGATAGGATTTTAAGTTGGTATCTCGTTAATTTTACATTTGATCTATTTATTACAGACGTTGTATCAACATCAAAGTCTGTTTTTCATTCCTTTTTGCTCGTTCTCTAATGTTTTAAGTTTTTTTTTCATGTTTTTGTTGAAGTTTTATTTTAATATGCTTGACATGTTTGTTTATCCAATTCAAACATTGATGTGTTGTCTATTAGAATGTATTTTGTTCACGCATATGCTTATGATCTTCTCTTGTATAGCAATATTAATCATTAACAATGACTTTCCGAATTACTCGAAATGAATAAATATATTATAATTTTCTTATTTTTTTAGATGTTCAGTAGTCGTTCAAGACATTCTCATTATCATCAAACAAATAGATCTTATTTTGGTATTCTACTTCTTCTTGCTGAATTAAGTCGTTCATCACATTTACCACCAATAACATTGACGATTATTATTCTTAATGTATTAATTTATTTTGATATATTTCCATTATTTGGTTTATCAAGTAATTTACAATCTGTTTGTGTTAGTACACATGCTGTACTTGATCAAGGAGATTATATGCGTATTTTACTAGCACCCTTCTTTCATGGTGATGATATGCATTTATATTATAATATGGCATCATTTTTATACAAAGGACAACAACTTGAAACTCTATTTGGTAGTCGATATTTTGCACTTTTAGTTACAATATTAACAATATCATCAAGTTTAATGCTTGTTATACTTGGTCAATTAGCATCAAGTTTATTGGATAATCCAGAATATTTATTTACATGTGCTGTTGGTTTTAGTGCTGTTATATTTGCATTAAAAGTTATAACAACACATTATACACCTAATTATAGTTCAAATTCATTGTTTGGTTTTATTCCAGTATCAACAAAATATATTGTATGGGTTGAACTTATTGTTATTCAATTAATTACACCTAATGTTTCATTTCTAGGTAAATTTCATGCTATATTTTTATGAAAGATGATTTAAAAAAAAAGAGCGTTGAAGTATATAGGTAGAAATTTGTCTTTCTTTCAGACTTTGATAGACGTTATTGACATATGGCGAAAGACCATATATCAATAACAGTTCGTTAAAAAAAAGTGTTTCAAGACAGATAGAATAAAATAATCTCCTTGTAATTAGCAACAGCTTTCTAAGTTACTATGATTATTACTTGTTCTTTTTTTCGTTTAATTTAGGTCATTTAGCAGGAATTTTGGTTGGTATTTTGTATACAAAAGGTCCATTACGATATATTTGTCATAACATACATAATTTAATATTTTAGTGCTTGGGTGATATTTAAAAAAAATAATATATGGATGGCAATAAATGAATTGTGTTATTTTGTTTTTGGAAAAAATTTCAATGCAAAAAAAAGCGATAAATATTCTCGATCTTCGAAAGAAATGTTTTAGTGATACTGATCACATAGATTCGTGTAGTGTTCAACATCTTCTTATGTTTATTTGTTTCATTTTTTTTAAATTATTTATTTCATTTGTTTGTCAATAGTTGCATTAAATTGGAATTCTGTAAATAAGTTGTAAAGTTGTCAATATGATTTTCGAATAAAAATATGTGAATAAATTGTTCTTGAATGTCAAATTTTGATATGAATATAAGATTTTCCAACTCAATACATTTTTTGTTTTCATAAGGTTCATAAATAAATAATGCTCAATGGATTTCAGAATGATGATAGAAGAAATCAATGAAGATTCAATTTACAAAACTATAAAGACAAATTTATTAGATATAGACATTCTTGAAGCAGAGTAATACGTAACTAAAACAGGAGTATTCAGATATACAACTTGGTATTCATATTTATAAAGAAAAATGATTTTGAGTATACTAGACGTGCCTAATGCGTGCAGTTTATATGCGCCATGTTATTGGTTTTCCTACAGAACTTTTGTCAAATTTTTCGATCATTGCAACGTAAGTGAACGAGGTTCATCATGATAAACTAATTCGAACTGTTCATGTATTGTTACATAAGCTGTAATCTGTGTCTAACAGTAATGAATATGAAGTTCAATATTGAAATCATACTGAGGCCCGCGTGGAGATTTAAACCAACATTGTCACTTGTTATGAATGTCCCACTAGTATGAACATCAAAGCTTGTCCTACTACAAAAAAAAATAGACAAAGCATTACTGAACATACAGCCGATTTCGAAAGTTCCAAAGGTCCTAAACAGAATTCTGAAGAGCTGAATAGAATTGAAAGTATCGAAAAGTTGATTAGAACTACAAAAAAGTTGTTTATATCTTTTCATCAAAGTACAGGCACGATTTTCATCATCAGATGATTCTATATCAGAATTTTTCGATAGATAATCCACTTTAACTTCAACAAATTCTATTTTTTTTGTCGGATTCAAACAAAGCAGCCAACTGTTTCGTTTAAATAGGACTTCTTGTTGACCTTGAGTGTGGGTTTGAGTGAAAATAGAATACACATCCACAGCCACACCCGCCGTTACGCAGGCATGCAGGTCCAATCGGTGATTAGCCGAAGTTTTAGAAACTTGCAATTCCTTTATTACAACTCTTACTGATTTCGTATATAAAATAGTGAGAAAACGCAAGTTCTGCACACAGTTATCGTTGGAATCTCATGAGTATTTATATGTATATGAATCATCAAATAAAGTAACATCGTGATTAAAAACAAAAACACTAAACAGACAATACTTGGATATTACGAAACAGTCACTCACACCAATAGAAAAGATAAAAGAGAAAGAGGCAAATGTTCTCAGAAGTCGATATATATATATATATATAATAATGCTATGTTCAGATAGTATATAACCTGCGATTTATTCTTTAGTGATTTTTTTTACTCTTTAAGCATAGAAACTATTTTTCAATTCAAAAAGTGTGAAAATTGTTCTCTTGTTATCATTTGTTTTGTTGTTGACATTTATACTTGAATAAATTGTTAAAAAATATATTAATTCACGTTTCAAACGAGTATCTGTCCCATAAGTAATTTATATATTGAACTGACTTTAGTCGTCTTTCTTTGCTTATGATCTTATTAGATGTGTATTCATTCTATTGATAATCATTTTAATCAAATTATTCTGTCAAATGGAAGAAAATTTAAATTTTTGTAGTCTTCTTTAGTGCAGGAATTTAAAAGATGAATGAAAAATTTATATTTGCAATTTAGATACATTGACAAAAATTTTTAGGGAACATACATTAATCAATTTTCTGCTTTTACTTCTGATAGAACTATGAAAGATAGTCCTTGTAAATATTTTTAAGCATCTATTTTTGCATCGTCGAATCGATTGAAGTTTATCACGTGTAAAACATACTTTTTGAATTTTGTTTTTCTTTTAAATGTAGAAAACGGTGTGGTAGGGTGTGTACATGAGTGTGCGAGCACGATTGCTGTTGTGCATGTGTATGAATAGAAGGCTCTCAACAACATGTACATCCTCACGTGAACGAAAGGATGATTTTTATGAGCCATTTTTTTTCTTTAGTGCAGACTAACAATTTTTCAGTTTGTAGTGCTTTCGATACTTTGCTCTTTGACATTTTCACTTTTTACGCTTTGCCACTTGGCTCTTTCATCATAAGTTATAAACAATGAAATATTTGAGCTTTTAGTTTTTAAGAAAGAAGCATTTTTTATTTGTAGATGTAAATGGTTCTCCTTTGATAATCAAACTTAGGTCGGATGCATCCAAACCATAGGAAATTTTCAATCTTGTATGATGATGTTTTTGAGAGGTTTTTAATAAACAAGAGTCTAAACTCTAAAAAAAATGGTCCTGTTTTGATAGAAGTGCTTTTTCTGTTACAATAACTTCAATAGAGACCAAGTAGAGTGTGGGTGTTTGTCTTTCTAAAGTAGGTCCACATTCATACTCACGACGTCGAACAACACTATGCGAAACCTGATGATCGGATTCTGGTCGAACTCGAAGGATTTTGTTATAATTTCCACTTTATGTAGGATGACAATTCTCGGTTGTTTTTGGGAGTGAGGGTAGGAGCTAAAAATTTGGCAGAAAGTATTATCAAACATTATGAAACCTAGTCAAAAACTTTGAGGGAAAGCCTCTGCCTGCCTTCCTCTAATCAAGAACCCTGTATGAGATAACAACATGGGTTGCTCACCCGATAGTAAATCAATGGTGTTCTATAGTACAATACTTGTCGTTTTATTGTTCGACATGAAATTGACGCTCAAATGATCACAACAACTTTATTTCTAATACAAATCTCTGAAAAAACATTCTACAAAAAAATATACAGTCAGACAGGTCTAACTAGTATGACTTTCATTTGAACAAAGAATTTTCATTAACACTTTTATTTTTGTCTCAAGACTTATTGCTATTTGTTTCATAGCATTAGCTTGTCCTTTCTCCCATGTACCAAGTGGTAATTCAATTTCTGACTTTTCATGAGTTTTTGTTATAACAGTGATACCGAGATCGTCATTAGGACTGATAGACACATGCCAGATTGTTGTAATAACATGTTTACGATTCTTTGGCCATTCAATAGTTACTTCATCGTAGTTTTCTAAACGTTCACTATTGCCTGACCAACGACTCTTCTCTGCAGTTGCCCAACGAACAGTAGAATTCGTATAACGACTGGCAATGTATTGTTTGGCATGATCAATAAATGTTGCTGCACGAAGAAATCGATCGTTCATATTGAATGAAATCAATGGAGAATTTTCTATTGATTTCGGCCAGTAAGCGGTTGAATCCATACTTCTTTCATTAGCGATCAATTCACGTAGAAATTTAAATTGAAATGTAAGCTCATTAAAAGACCATGGAAGTCCAAACTTGGCGAAACCACGATCAAATATCAAGTTTAAATGCTGTTTTAGATGATCAAATAGTTCTTTTCCATTCCATACACCTATCATAAAAGATGAAATTCTTTAGAGAAGCAAAAAACACAAGACGGCTTTCAAGAATATTAAAATTTGATCTATTTTTCCTTTCAAAACGTGCGCAATGATTTTGATAGAATGCAATTTTCTTTAAGCAATACTTTTACATACCTGTAATTTCTCGTAATTTCGTCTCAATTAATTTGATATTATCGGATAGTTCATGTGGTGCTTGATCGTTGATATCTTTTGGTGCTCCTGGTACTCGTTTAGTAATTAGCCAAAAGAGAATGGCACATATATGACTCATATCAATGGTCGGACTTCGAAGTTCGTCGATACGTTGTTGTTCATCGGTAGTTGATAATTCGAGTTCTTCCATTGATCGTAACTCGAGTTGTGGTACTCGATAGAACGTGTGATTGGTTGTAGCTGGATCAGTTACATGAAAAATTTTTTCAAATTCATTACAATGTTGTTTTCCATACAATGTAAAATCGTCTTGTTTACTAAATGGAATATTACTATCATTGATCACTGCTAAATTAAAATTGATAATGACAAATTGGAGCTTCTTCATATTTGTCAATTCATTTTCATCTCGTTGAAAATTTTTTACAATAATATTTTGAGGCTCAAGATTTCGATGGATAACATTGCAAGCATGAAAGTGTTTGATAGTCAATAATAATTTTCGACTAATGACAATAGCATCAGAAATGCTTAATTTTCTATGTTCATTCAAAAAATCTTTGAGTGTTATGCCTTGAACATTTTCTATAATAATCCAAAATTTATCCTGATTTCTACTTTGTTTATCCGATGAATGAATATTGTTTGTGATCAATTTTGGAACAGACTTGAGACCTAAATAGAAACCATGGATATTGCCAAAAACAAACACATTGTAGAGAATAGTTATACTTTGTAACTTTTCCAGAATCTTCAACTCATGACACGCTCGAAAACGAGCATTATTGTTATCATCGCCCGATAGAAAGATTCTCATGGTGGCTATTCGATTTTCATCACTTATTGATACCACAGTGTACTCTTCGATTTTTTCATGAGAATTTTCAAATGTTTTTTCATTAATCCAACGCCACTGTGGCGCATATTTGGCCATATCAGATGGCATATCGATAGAGGAATTTGAGAAAATAGATTTCGTTGGATGCTTCTTCGGTTTTGAAGGAGAAGGCTTGACACGATCTGCCCAAGTTTGATGTTGAGCAGATGAAATTGGAGAAGGGTTTTCAACATTCATAATCGATTGTACATCCTGAGCAAGAGCTTCAGGTACAATTGATTTAAGCTTCACGGCCGAAGGAATGTGAGATGATTGTAGTTCATCTCTCATTAGAACTGATTCAGCTGGTTGGTAATTCCAATCGAATATCGCGACATTATATTCTACCTGACATTTTATCAATCGAGAAGATTGATCAGAAAAATGTTGATTGTGCCATTTACGAACTAGTTTACGAGTATAATTCTCTGACACTTGATTTGCATAATAGGCCGTTCTCGTCCCATTTTGACATGGTTCGGGTGAGAGTTTGACATTGTGCATCGATTTGCTTTCAATATTTAGACGACTCATGAGCTGTTCAATTGTTACATTCGACGGCAAGTTACATAGTTTAATACGATAGGTTGAATTTCGCTCTTCTAAACAGTCAATAGAAACTTATCTTATGTAACAAAAAAAGTGATCTTTTACTTCTTGGTCGACTATTTGATTTGAGTGTTCTACGTTCATTATGACCAAACCAACAATTTTCATCTTCACATGTGTCCGGTTCATTACACATCCAGTGTTTGAAATTGCAATCATTCTGGTATTTACATTGACCTATTTCGAATTGCTCACAAAGTTGAGACGGATGCACTTCTTCTTGGATGCATTCACATTGTATTGTGTAACTGTCCAATTGTCTTCTTCCTAGTTTTTTGACAAGTTTTTCAACAATTTGATGATTACCCGAATGTTTTATCGAAGCTTCCCAAGGCAACATTTCAGAGATCTCATTCTCCTCTGGGATCGCTTGTGGCCGAATCAAAATATCGGCAACATGTACTTCAAAGATCAATGATAGTTGTTCGCTGGTAATACTTGGTGGTAAATTCGTTATATGAACACAGTATGGACGTGGATGATTGTTCGGACCATCTCCTAGTTAAATCAAAACGAAGTTTCGATGATTTTTTCTGAGATAACTATGATTTATTTTCGACTACTCATTGTTCTATCCTTAAGGAGAGTCAGACGTCAACGCCTAATGTACAGTATGATTTTGTAACGAATAAATAGAATAAACGAATGAGATTGCAGTGAAACTCTCCTAACAAGATCGCCTCAAGCTTAAGGTCCATTTAAACATTGGAAAAAAATGTATCTGAGCTAATTTAGATTTTTGTTCTCTTTTCTCTGAAACTTTTTTCAAGTTTCAAAGAAAACGAGGAAAAGAAAGAAGTGGATTCCCATGTGAAAATTCTCCCATCGTGTAGAAATCGATATAATGTTTTGATTATATCTATTTGTACACATCTCAATCATAACTTACGATCTCGTCTTCGTGGTGCTTGCATTTCTTTTTGAACTTTCACTTTGATTTTATTTATTTCATGTGATCCTGTGTAGAGCATAACTTGATCGACCGAATCATAACTAATCAATACAATTGAAAATGTAAATTATTCAAATTAATTGACTTTAATTCTCTTACTCCTTGAATTCGAGAAAAGCTTTTTTTGCATGTTCATTTTCTTCCCATTGACAACCGATAATGTGACCAAATTGTTGAAAATATTTTCGCAAATCAACTTCATTCAATTGAGAACGATTTAGTCCATCATCTGTCGATTGATGTATAGCAACAGAAAGTATCGTTGTTGGACGGCCATAATGTTGCATTTTATTCGGTATATTTCGTACAATTTCCCGTGATTTCCCACGAATCTTGATTAAAGATCGGTTTGTGATGACGATGTTCAAATCAGTTTGGTTATGAAAGTTAAGAAAAGCTCGGCGAATCTCTTGACCATCCGCACTCGCTAAGAAACAAAAACAATAATCCTAAAATTTTATTGACAATCGTCAACTCACTGATAGTCTTCCCCCAACTAACATTATAGTGTTCATGATGAAGGTATTGTTTTAAAGCTTTTTTGATGTCTTTTTCGGTTATCTCCGTACCACAACTGTTGATAACTAGACCATAGCGGCATCTTGCTAGATCAGCTTGTGTCACTTCTTCAGATAATAAAAGCTACACAAAAAAAACAAAAGAAAATGCATTGTATAGAATGAAATTCGTATTATGCTTACCTGAGCCATATTGACAACTGTTGAACAAAAGTTTAAGATTCGAATGAAAATCTAAAAAAGATTAGTTTCTAAAGTCTAAAACCAGCAACAAGCCAATTTTCTCTTCTTACAAATATATCAATGTCTGCAAATAGTAAGCTGAGAAATACTTAAATAAAAAAAGAAAGAAAGAATGCGTTGGAAAAAACCCAGATTAAAGAATGACAAGAAACAAAAATACCCAAAGTTTTTCTTTTTCCGCTTGAAAATAAAAAATACCCAACACTATTCTTTATTCACTACCTGTAAGAATAAAACATACGAGTATTATGATTGTCAACAACCGAATTGATTTTATTTGTCAATTTGCACAACAAACACTACAAGAAATAAAAACATCGGAATGCTAGTGTGATGAATAATGATGGAAGAAAAGAAAAAAAAACGTGACTTCGCAACAAGCAATACGATATATTTCTAAAGAGCAGAATTCTGCACATATTTCTATGACAAAAAGTCAAGTTTTAGTTCTTTCCAAAAAACAATCAGAGGTGAAAAGGGAACGTACACTTTAAAGTCTATGAACATGTGTTGACTGATTAGCTTTATCGTTTCGTTTTCTTCTAGTGCATTATATGCCAAACATATGACATATGCAATAACGATAAAATAATCGAAACAACTGGGAAAACATCAATTTTGTCGAATACAAAAAATGTCGATTGCAAATTTGTCGATAGAATTTGTCGAAAAAAAAATTGTCGATTCGACAAAATTTAATTCCAAATTTGTTGAATTCGACAAATTTTATTAAAAAATGTCGATTATGGTATTGTCAAGCTTCGTTTCGATGAATTTCAAATTCAGTTATAATCA